TTCAAAAATGAGAAAACAGAAAATAAAGAGAAAGAATAGAAAAAATGTACCTTATTTTGAAAAAAACCCTGGTCTTTAGATCAAAAAGCCCCACCTAAACCAGAGAGAATAATAACAATAAAAAACTCCTAACATATTCTTGTACGTTTGTGAAATTTATGAACTCTAAAAATGAAAAATGAAAAATCCTAGAATCTTTATGAAGGTTAAACATCAGATTTAAATAAGAAATAAAAAAGAAAGAAGAAAAAGACTTCCCATCTGCAACAGAGGATGTCATATGATGAATAATTGTCTACTAAAGGCTAAAAGGAAATGGCATTTTAAAACTCTCATTCTATACCCAGAAAAATTATTATCCAAGAGTGAGGGCAAAGACTTCCAGCCTTGCAAAGATTCAGAAATTATCTCACATGCTCACATTCTGAAAAAAGTACCAAATGATTTCCTCCAGAAAATGACAACAAAAGATAAATAATGATGAAAGCCAACACAGAAACCTAACAAGTGAAGGTCTCAAGTGGACCTACATTCCACTAATTTATGTGGTGCCAATATGTAGGGTTACATGATTTTTTCCCATCAGTAAAGTAGTGTCAGAGAGGAGAAGAGAAAGATTACATTATGGCAAGGTTGACAGTTTACAAGCAGCAGGTGCTTGCATCACAGGAGCTCATGAGGTTCGAAGATGCTAGGAAGGGAGTGTTTGATGATATACCACCAAGTAGAAAAGAAAACTAAGTATGGAAGGAAATAAAATACTAACGAAGGGTCAATGGAAAAGAGAACAGAGAGGAATCAAGGACAGAAGGTGACTATGTTGGTGACGGTGTGTAGTATGAGTAAGAGGATGAAAGGGGCTTAGACACGCTCAGCTGAGAAAGAGACAGTGGGAGTTTGTACCCACAAACTCTACTTGGAGGCAAGTCATGCGTGTGGGAAACTGTTTTCCTCACCTGACAAAGCTGCACAAAGAAGTATCCATGGTTACAGAGTGATATACTGGAGGTTAAGTTTTAAATGCACACCATTACCGGGAGGGGACAAGGCCGAATGTGGCCCATTCATCAGGTAGTCTGATAAAGAGTTAAGATAAATGTCACTGGACTTGTAGAGGTCAAGGAATTATGAAGATTAAGTGACTAGTAGCTGTATTTCATGGCTCTTAACATCTCTTAGGATGTTGGCAGGAGTAGGGATGTGTAGAAAACTAGTAAGTCCAGAATCAGTGTCATTGATAAATACAGGGGAGTGCCTAGAAGTGAGAAGATGACATGATGAATAGAGTTAGAGAAGAGGTTGGGCAGAAAGGCATGAGCCCTCATGAGAGGAAAGACTTTGCACAGGAAAAAAAATATAATGGCTTAATGGCAGCAGTGAGGGCTAGGAGATTAACTAACAGCACTTACTAGCCATGTAGACACGAGGGGGGGAAATCGAATAGCCTCCATTTAAGCAGAAAGTCACTCAGAAGAAAATCAAGTTTGAAATAAGGCAAAAGGTAGAAGAAGTGTCTGCAAAGGGGTTAGAGATAAAAAGAGTGTTCGGTTGTAACAGAGCTATGTTCAAAGCCACAGGTTAAAGGTTTTAGAGGAATGTTTCCCCGTGAAAGAAGTCAGGGTGGAGGAAACACAGAGCTCTATGAAGGCAAGAAAATGGGAAAGGATAGAGAACTAAGCGGCTTGCATTAGTGTGGTGGTTGCTGGCAGGAATAAGAGGTGTGAAATGAACTGGCCTCAAGTTTGTGCTTTGAACTTGAACTTGTCTTGCTGCTGAAACTCCAGGTATGAGGGAGTCTCTATTTACTGGCTGTTTCAAAGTGTACCAAGTCAACTTTAAAATCAACAGATGATTCTCTTTCCCACTCACTCATCTTCACTTGCAGAGCTCCGCAACTCTCCGCAGCTCCTCCCACGCCATTGTTGGCTATGCAGCAGTAAATGCCATCATCACTGTCCTCCACACTCAGGATGGTGAGGAGCTGCCCATTCTCCCGAATGCTGTACCGGGTGTCAAAGAGCCTGCAGGTCACAGAGGAAAATGGGAGATTAATGTGTCATCTGTGATTTTTCCAGCTATGATTAATTGATCAAACTGATGACTTGTCAATGAGGAAGTAGAATGCACCACTGAGTCCTCCAAAGATTCTTTCAAAGGGTGATGTCTATTGATAAGATCAAATGTAAAGTTTACTTGATTCAGGAAAGTATATCATAACCAAGATTTATGTGTCTTCTCACCATAATTACTGGGAAGTAGTAGATGTTAATAAACATGCACACACATAAGTGTGATGAGCAGAAAGAGTTAAATGTTTGTGGACATAGCTAACAATTACTTGAATATTCAAATATTCATCCTTTCATTAAACAAATACTTATTGAGTGCTAACAAGTGCCAGGCACAGTTCTATTTACTTG